CGGGTCTACTACTACTACTACTACTACTACTACTACTACTACTACTACTACTACTACTACTACTACTACTACTACTACTACTACTACTACTACTAATGTACTATAATCCACTGTGCCTGGAGAAAGCTCCCTACTACTCTGTCGGCTAAGCTATTTATGAGCAACAGGTTGAAATAATTATTTCAAGTCTAAATATTTTTGATTAATTATTTTCAACATGCTGTAGTTCACCAGTTTTTAATTGACATTCTCTACACTGCAGGTGTAAAGGAAAACAGTATAGTTAACATTGACATGATGAACAGGACAACTAAACTGAGCAACGGTGTCAACCTTGTCTGGAATGCTACTGGTTCGAGCTTCGTCAAAATATGGTGCACTTTTTCTTCAAAGAACGTAAGTTTGGGTCGGGTATGTTTTCTATTATAATACAAATTGGAGTTTGTTACAGTAAGGCTGTTTTTCGTTTTAGTAGAGGTTTTACGGCGCTTGCAACTGCATAAGGTCATATGAGCGCCAGGGGATTAGAGGTGTTACAAGAGAGTAACAAACATAAAAAAGAAGGAGGGGAGATAAGGACGATAGATGTTTGACAGGAAAGAAGAAGCAAAACTGTTTATTACAGAGGAGAAAATATTACATTAAAGAGAATGTCTGTTTCAAGTTCGGTTTTTAAAAATCAGATACATTCTAGAAAATACTGTAATAAAAAAACGTAACAGCTCTGCCCTGTGGCACCAGGAGAGTACATATACATATACATGTGTGTGTAAGTGTGTGTGTGTGTGGGTGTGTTGGTGTGTGTGTGTGTGTGTAATATACGTACATAGTGGATGGGAGAGATTCGAGAACAACATTTTTATTTAGAAAATGAAACTAAAATACTCACATTCTGTCATAGTCACATTGCTAAGTATTGCATCAACATGAGAGAAGCAAAACATTTAGTAAATGACTGGTTTGGCTTGCTACTATTCTCTCTCTTCTACCTATGCACAATTTCTTCCACAGTCGCCTTTTGATCTTAACGTGATATACCTAGATTTGGGCAACAATGGAAGCAACTGCGGTTCTCTGAACACAAGCAACAGCTACATACCGAGCCAAGAGGCTAATGGGTACCTTGCCAAGTGAGAATTTGTTGGGTTTTTTTGGTCAAATTTATGCCGTTAATTGTTAGCAATAATGAAGTCAATATTCTAGTGGTTAGGCTACCGGACTCGTAATCGTGGGGTTACGGGTTTGGAGGTTCAAGGTTCAGCTCAGCTCAGCCCGATTTTGTGTCCTTTACTTAATTTCCAACATGTCATTCTCGTGTGAAAGGTAACTGCATGTATTATTTATAACAACATTATTATTATTATTAGTAGTAGTAGTAGTAGTAGTAGTAGTAGTAGTAGTAGTAGTAGTAGTAGTATTGTGAGGCAGCGGGGTTTATTATAATAATAATTAATATCATTATTATTGTTAATATCACCATCATCATCATCATAATCATCATCATCATCATCATCATCATCATCATCATTATCAGCATCATCATTATCAACATAATCGACGTTATCAGCATCACCATATTATTATTATTATTACTATTATTATTATTATTATTATTATTATTATTATTATTATTATTATTGCTATTTGTGTTTGTATTTTTTAAGATAATGATTATTACCACCATCATCAATATTACTATTATTACTATTATTATTATTATTATTATTATTATTATTATTATTATTATTATTATATTATTATTATTATTATTATTATTATTATTATTTTTATTGTTATTATTATTATCATTATTATTATTATCATTACTGCTATTATTGGTATCATTTTATTTTGTATTATCACTACGTGATCAAACGGATATTTAAGAATGAAAAAACATTTTTTAAACATGTCAAACGCAGAGGTACTTTTGCGCACTAGTTGTTCCAAAACATAATCCACAAACGCGTTTTGTTGTATTGATCAAACGGTGTATCATAAAGGCGTCCCAGATAAAAACCTGCCGTGTTAATCTACTACTTCTCACTTTTAGAAAGAGTTTTGTCAAAGAGCCACGACGAGGACACGGATTTTAGGAATCAGATTTCAAGCAACAGAATGTAATAATGCTGTGTTGATTCCTATTTGTAAAAAACATTAACTGTAACCAAAAAAAAGAAAGAAAGAAAAGAGAGAGAGTGAAAAAATTCTTGACCACTGTTGCAAACGTACGCCTGGAGACGCTATTTGTCTTCTTGGTCTTGCTACTTATATGATTTTCTTTTGATTGATCCCGCAGCTCTTCCAAGTACAGTCTTATCTCAAAACAAAGATTGGCGTCCTTGAATGTGACCTTGTCCACTGGATTTGTGTGGCTGCAACTCACAGTCAACTCCACAGCAAACGTCTCTGTGTTGTGCAGAGAGCCTGAGGAGAGATCAGTTCCGACAAGTAGACCGCAAGGGCCAATGGAGACAGGGGAAGACAATGGGCACAGCCAAGACAAGTTAAAAACTATTTTGATCACAGTATGCTGCTGTGTGGGTGTGTCAGCTATCGTCTGCTCTGCTCTTGTCCTGGCGTTCTGTAGATGGTCTCCCTTGTACAAGTTTTGGCGAACCGCGGATGGGAGGCAGCCGGTTCCCCTCGGGTCGCCTTCGAATACTACTGCAGAGTTGACCTCAACCAGCGATGGGCTCGCGTGTGGGGACTCACAGAACGCTTATACACTTCCAGCGGATGAATGTCCTCTAACCTCAAACTCTGAAACGGGAATCCGCTTCATGAAACTGGTAAAGGCTGAAGAGAAGCATAACATTTACACAGATGCTGACCAACCCGATCGAACTCTAGACTCATTTCCCGGGGTCACCAGCTCAAATAATGGACGAGGCTTGTACTCGGAGGTCGACGGGCCAAATAATAGACATGACGCGTATTCGAAAGTTTACGGGCCAAATTATGGATTCGGCTTGTATTCAGAGGTAGACAGACCATGTAACCGCCCGGGCTTGTATTCGAAGGAAAACAAGTCAGAAAACAGACAGGATAATTATAGCTTCCTTAACAAACCAGATTCGAGCGAAGAACCTATGAGCAGCATTTATAACTCCAGCCAAACAGCTGAGTACTCACATTTAGGGCGGCCTTCCGATGAACCCACCGTGATTTCAAACGTGTATGATGGATAAAAGCCATCAAAATTTGTACCTATTAGGTAGAAATTGCAGTGGGGGTATCCCCAGAGAGGAAACGGAGACCTGACAGAAAATGGGAACAGGAAATAATCGGGCTTGGAAACAATACAATTCAAGCAGGCAGAATGGCAAGAGACAGAGAAACCAACAACCGAAGAAGCTTAAGAAGAAGTACCAGCGTCTGTAGTTTGATCCATTGGCTTTCATATAAGATCTGTGTATTAAATTCCGAAGTGGAACAGTTTTTTTGAAAGAGTTCTTCGTTTGAAATAGTTCCGTGCAACCAGGGTCGGCTCTGACGTACAGACAAGGTCAAAGTATCCTTCCTCCAAAAAGTGTCGACAATGGGTTAATAAGTTGTAGGTAGTCCTTCGTTGCTGAAGATGACGATGAAATCCTGCTGCTCATCTGTGGACGTGCATGTTGTCTTTGAGCCGCTTTATTGGCCTCCTGAGATTTCTTTTGCCACTTGAAAGTTAATAAGTTACCTCATTACAATCTACAGTCATATCCCTGTTCTATTCTCAAAGATGAGAAAAAAAAGTTGCTTTTTATGGAGTGCATCCATTATTGATACAAGACAGTGGGAGGGACCACTTTCAACATCCACTTGCAAAATATTAAAATTGTTTTGTTTGGAATTGAAAGCCAAGATTTCCTCCAACTTAACTTGTCAGACATCACTAATATATCTTTAAATGTTATTATCTAATTTTCCGTTTCTCGTTTTCTATTTTTGAGGATTGCTGCTTTACTTGTTGGCATCTAGAGTCTTGACAGCTGATCTTAAAAGGGTTCAGCATAACACAGCTTTACCTCAGTGTTAGACATAGAGGAAGTAGATTGCCCAAGTACCTCTTCCTTCCCTTTGGACATTGACTTCCCTGATATGCTCCAAAGAAGAGACAAAGCCAATACGTTTGGAATCAAGGAAGACGTACGAGTGTATTTTATTATTTTACAGATGCAATAGGTTATTTTATTGCACGCATTTTCACAAAACAATATTTTCTTCTATTTTTGACTTTTACTCGGGCTGCTTTAACGGACACTTCAGTAAAATGAAAGTCGTCATTGACCTCGACATACCTAACAAGAGTGCTAAATTGTTGCCCTGGTGACTGGTAATCCATCGTAAAAAATTCCTTCGCTGTTTTCAGATTTCGTCTGTGATGCTTTTGCTCTGCATACCCTTTGTCATATAGTTACTCCTTCCAGAATTATGTAGCGGGTGCATTTGATTTGAAGGCGTAGACTGTATGTGATTAGAAAAGATTTTCCGCAATAACCGCATATTCAATGCAGGTGAAAATATATTTTTCTCATGTGGATTTTGGATAGATGTTTTATATTCTTCTATCCTTATTCTCTCACTTACTCTCTCTCTCTCTCTCTCTCTCTCTCTCTCTCTCTCTCTCTTTCCTTCTCTCTCTCCTTTCCCCTCTCTTTCTCCCTTTCTCTCTATCCTTCTCTATCCTCCCCACCCTCCATCCCTCTCTCTCTCTCTCTCTCTCTCTGCGTGCGCGCATCTTGCTCCATCAGTTTGGAACTCCTCTCCTAAGATCGCAGGCTAAATTTAAAGCCTGCTTAAAGACACATCCATTGAAAACATTATTAGTACAATATCATTATGTAAATGACTGTGTGTCTGTTCTATGTATATTTTTGTTAACCTACACCATTTCGCAATATGTATATTATTACAATAATATGTTTGTGTATGGTTCACTCATAATTAACTATGTATTTTATATACTATGTGTGCGTGTGTGAAGAGAGAGAAGGTGAGTGTGTGTGTGTGTGTGTGTGTGTGTGTGTGTGTGTGTGTGTGTGTGTGTGTGTGTGAGTGTGTGTGTGTGTGTGTGTTTGTGTGTATGTGTATGGGTGTGTATGTGTAGGTGTATGTGTGTATGTGACGAGAGAGAAGATGTGTGTGTGTGTGTGTGTGTGTGTGTGTGTGTGTGTGTGTGTGTGTGTGTGTGTGTGTGTTTGTGTGTATGTGTGTGTTATGTGTGTATCATTTCTTCGATTACTTGAGTTAATATCAATTTTTTTTCAGATTTATTGGTTTGTACTTTGATTTATGTAGTGACTGTATATTGTATAGTCAAAGGGGCAAGAAATTGAGAATTACTTCACAGAGACGCTACTTTTTTGCTTCTGCACAGCTCTTTTACTTAGAAAAAAATGTAACATTAACAGCCCATCAAACAACAAAAAACGTACCTTCACTTTGACTTGTTGTGGCATTGTGGACTGGGGTGTCTGTGGACTGTCTGCCCACCCTGAGAAGAGGCCATTCATGTTGAGGATAGGAAGGTACTAGGAGTTTTCATGAGACTGGAAAGACCTAACTGCCCTGTGACCGTGTAATTCCGGAAGGGTCCACGTTGCCCATTCCCCTCCACCAATAGCTACTGGCTAAGGTTTTCGACTCTTTCATGAGGTATTGGCCAAGTGGGAAAGCCATTGGATCGTCACGTCCTGGGTCGTTGTGCCTTTACTAAGAGGTTTCACGGTCAGAAAGCAAGTCAGGCATTCTGCTCGGTCCATCCCCTGCACCCAGACACTCTCAAACTGGCTGGTACCTTCTCAGCCACAGAGGGTGTGTTGATAAAAGTAGTAGAGATGTTAGGCAGATTAGACACCCACTCAAGGGAGAGTGGGGGCGTGTTAGTGAGGAGCATAGCGTCTACCACGCATCGGTGGGTTCTGCCTCCTGCACCTTGTGGGGCCACACCTGCTCCCATCCTGTTGTTTTAACCCCTCTAGGAAACGGGGGGGGGGGGGGGGGGTTGGTTTGTTGGCGCCAACAACTCGCCATTCGCCAGAGCCGTGTCAGTGAGGACAGGGACCACCACGGGCAGGTACGGTTGGCTGGATTGGGAGAAGCTGTTTGAGACGCTTAGGCATTTCTCAATATTTTAATGAGACCCATCACCAGTCCTTGATCCCCTCACTTTGACTTAAATTATATGACTTTGACTTAAATTATATGAATGCATGTGTTCAATCAAGACTTCCATCACCAGAGGATCCCGAATAAACGCTGTAGTGTAATAATTAGCAAGTCTGACCCAGCTGGCTGGTCATTGACTGTTCAAGGGCTCATATGACCTTATGCAGTTGCGAGCGCCGTAAAGCTCTTACTAAATCTGACTGTTTAGCCACACATCTTGATGTCCCATTGCTATGCCACGGACTATTATGATGGGGGTTGGTCTATAGACGTCAAGCTGACTTGCCGCGCAACTCCACATAACATGTTCAATATCACGAAGGCATAAAAAAACCAAATAAATAAACAAGAACGTATTTTTCAAAGAATATTATAAAAATACGTTATAACTGTTCTTGTCCTTCTGTTCTCTTGAATAAAAGTGAGCGTCCTTTCTCGTATATCGGTGTGATATTTTCCTGTTTGTCATTGCTAGCTTAAAATCTTGACAGAAACAAAAAGTGATAATAATGGGTGAGGCCAACCCGTCACTGTGTTCCTAGACCACTTTTGTAGAATGTAAATTGAAACACTTCGCTACTGATGCGCGTGATGCAATGGATTATTCACATTAAGTGTTCAGGAGCTTTGACCTCTGTTAAAAAGACAATGAAAAGCTGATAAGGGAGGGAGCGGAGGGTTGTGTTTGGAAGCCTCATTTTTCAAGAAAATTATTCTGATATACTTATTAATAATTCAATTTTTTTAAAGGGGGGGGGGGGTGGGATGGAGTGTGAGGGAAGAGCATTGTGAGTGAGTGTATTGTGTATGTAGTGAGGGGGGGGGGGGAGTCTTTTGTTGGGTTGTTGTTGTTGTTGTTGTTTGTTGTTGTAGTTTTGTTGTTAGGTTGTTGTTTTTTATTTGGTTGTTTTTTTGGGGGGTGGGTATCAGAGAGCATTGTCGGTGTGTGTGGTGTGTGTAGCACGGCCGGGGAAGTGGTTTGGTTGGGGGGGGGGAGGATTGTGTCGATCCATCTAAGGAATCACAAGTACCGTGCGCCAAGTTATTTGTTATCGGGACGCCCCAGTAGCCGCCTGCTGAAGGATTAACTCGCCTTCCTCGGGGAGCTGAGTAAACAAGAGCGATTGCTGAACTGGACCAGCCTGGCACATTTTGATTGCTCCTGCGCTTAGCTCTCATAATGTACAGGAAGTTGGCCCATGAGGAAAATAATATTCCCTTCCCTTCCTGCGAGTTCAGCGCACCACAGAGTTCTTGGTGAACCCCGGGCGGTGAGAAGAATAAACTGAAACACCTGCCGTCCTTTTCTGTGTGTGCGAACACTAGACTTTGTATCATAATAATAATGATATCCTTGACCGTGTACTCTGACGCAATTCCGGTCCGATATGGAGTGCAACATTTTGACTCAATTTGGAGACAAATCGGTATCTTGGAATTAACGAGTTCTCTCTGGCACCTTTTGACCGTTTTGAGTGACTAAGGACAGGAGACCAGAAACCAAATTAAAATGTTCTATCTGCTCTATCAAAATCATAAGATAATCCGAAGTCGTTATTAAGATATTCAAAGGATTACGTTAAAAAAAATTGGACATATTTTGAAACCTAAATTTTTTTAACATTAAATTTTTCAACATTTGTTTTGGTGCTGAGGAGATAGAACTTTGTAAAGCTAACGTTGCGAATTGAAGAGCAAGTGGAAAAGTCCCCCTCGCGTTCCTGACTATCTCGAGACTTGAGTTTTGCCCCTCATTTGGGTGCACACGGTCGAATTTACTTCGCAGCGACGTTTTTACACAGAGCAAAAAGCAGCGGCATTGACAATGCACGATCACTATTAGTCGATCGACAGCGTATTTTAACTGAGAAAAAAAAAACCTCTATAAGAAAAAAAAAGTGTAGGTTTAACGCCCCTATCAACACTAGTAGGTTATTTAAGGGACGGGACCTCCTAGTTTAACGTCCGTCTCTGATAGGACCGAGCCAAGTGGGAAGCTTGTGTAAAGTGCCTTTCCCAAGGACACAACGTCGGACCAAGCTGAGGCTCGAACCCCCGAACTCGCAACCTCACGATTACGAGTCCGGTAGCCTAACCACTAGGCTACCGACACAACTCCTCTGTAAGCTCTTTTTTTTGTTTTTGTAAAGTGTTTTACGGCGCTCGCAACTGCATAGGTCATATGAGCGCGCGGGACACACCTAATATTTTCAGTTGGTAGGAAATTTTGAATTTTGCCCGGGTGGCGGCCGAAGCCTACTCTTATCGATTTTTAGACCACCAAGGGATCTTTAACGTGCGCAACTTGCACACGGGCCCTCCGAGATTTTTCGCCCTTGTCCGAGAAGGCTAGGTGTAGATCTTTCCTACCAGAAGATCAGGGGTGTGGCAGAAAGACAGCAGTAAGGAGGGGCCAAGGAGTAGCAGTAGAAAGGCTGCAGAAAGAGTCAGGAGCCCATAGGAGGGGGCAAAGGAGATGAGGGGGTGGGGGAAGAAAGTGGAAATGAAAGCAGACAACAGAACATTGCTAGAGAACAGGGAAGGAGGTGAAAGGAGACAATTTTAGAGAGAAAAAAAATTTTGGTCGCTACCCGGATTCGAACCCGGGACTTTTGAATGAGAGGCCAACACCTTATCCTCTAGGCCACGAGAGCCCCCTCTGTAAGCTCTGACAATAGTTTTCCAAGA